TTATAATTAATCCTGGTCACCCAGTGGCCTAGCTAGTGCGAAGCAGTCATATGGGGATATCTCCTCACTGAGCCTAAAGATAGCTTTTGATAATGTATAGGTTTCCAAATGTCAGACGTAGAGACAGCTTTGTGTGTTTTATCATCCTTAGAAGTTGAACTACAAGGAAATCTAGATGGTTCGAATAAAAACTAAACTACCGCCAAAGCGCTTGCTAAGACATAGGATATGCTGGGGGAATTCAGAATCCAGGGGGTCTTGGTTCTTCTAATAATTGGAGCCAAGAGGCACGGTTCTCAATGGACATCATACTTACAGAATAACGTGCTATATATATACATATATATATATATATATATATATATATATATATATATATATATATATATATATATATATATATATATGTGTGTGTGTGTGTGAACCAATAGTCATGTTCACATGTCATTTGTGGCGACCCAACGGTCCAAGGGCTAAGGGACATGAGGATGAGGAGGAATTGTCATGATGGTCATTGTGATTCAACGTTTCGTAAAAACCATTTGCGCACTATACGACATGAGTACGAATCTAATTTAAAACAGATTGAAAACAGCGTGATGGCTGTAGCTTGAATAACTGAAATGTTTACGGTATACAAGGCCTTTAATAATAAATGAAAGTTTTCAAGATAGAATTACAGAGGATGGAGAAAAAAACACTTGATGTCCGCAAAATATTCCTGTTTTGATCCCAGACTGTATTAGAAAGATGAGAGTTCAAATGGAAATTCGAAGCATTGAAAATGGTTTCTGCGTTTCAGATTCAAATCATTTTGAAAGGGCATATTGTGTTTAAAAAAAATATTTTTCAGAAATTACAGAAAATCAAACTGAAAGAAATATGACAAGAGATGCGATGCGTAGGGCAAACAGAAGTGTCAAAACTTGACAATGAATTATGCACCTAGTTATTGTAATGAAAGGTGCTCCGTTTACCCTTAAGAGATCATACATTCGAATTGAAGCCAATGTTTTCCTCAGCGTGACAACGCTCCCTCAGCAGTCTTGTTGTTCTCTAGCCCGGTCTTTGGACCGGTTGCCGGTCGGTTGGCAAAAAGCTCACCTAAATCAAGTATACTGTATATAAGGCTGGTCAATGCTGCCCGTTGGTCGTCGTTTCATAAGTCTTTCTGCAGCCCGCGTTGAACTGAGATGCCGTGCAGCCGTGTAATACTCACACTGCTGTATGGGCTTTAATGTAGTTTGACGTCTTGTGCAACCCTTTCATCTTACCTATTTATGATATTTATATTTTAGTTTTATCGACATTGTTTGTTTAAAGCCTTTCAATTTCATATCATATTTATTTATAACTTTATTCTTCATTTTATTTCAATGAATGTGCAACAAAGAAAAGAAAATACAACTAATTTATACGTTTTGTTATGATTATTTTTGGTATAGTTCACCTCATTTAAATTAAATATTAAATTTATAATTTGTATTTTTATGTTTTAAAACATAAATAAAATCAAATTTATACTTGCGTGTCAGTTGAACTCTTCCTGGGGTTTAATGTTTTTCAACAGGTCAAAATAAAATTATATAAAGAGTTTATAGTTGCTGGGTATGTTTTATGGTGCCATGTTGTTTTTGTATGTTTTATGGTGCCATGTTGTGTTTATATGTTTTATGGTGCCATGTTGTGTTTGTGTGTTTTATGGTGCCATGTTGTGTTTGTATGTTTTATGGTGCCATGTTGTGTTTCTATGTTTTATGGTGCCATGTTGTGTTTGTATGTTTTATGGTGCCATGTTGTGTTTGTATGTTTTATGGTGCCATGTTGTGTTTGTATGTTTTATGGTGACATTTTCTGTTTTGTATGGTTTATGGTGACATTTTTAAATGTTTTAAAGTGTCATTTTGTGTTTTGTATGTCTTATAGTGTCATTTTGTGTTTTGTATGTCTTATAATGTCATTTTGTGTTTTATGAATTTTTTATGGTGCCTTTTATATTTGTGTGTTCTATGTTGTCATTTTGTGTTTTGTATGTTTTGTGGTGTCATTTTGTGTTTTGTATGTTTTATGGTGTCATTTTGTGTTGTGTATGTTTTATGGTGTCATTTTGTGTTTTGTATGTTTTATGGTGTCATTTTGTGTTTTGTATGTTTTATGGTGTCATTTTGTGTTGTGTATGTTTTATGGTGTCATTGTGTGTTTTGTATGTTTTATAGTAACATTTGTATATGTTTTAAAGTGTCATTCTGTGTTTTGTATGTTTAATAGTGTCATTCGGTGTTTTGTATGTTATAGTATCATTTTGTGTTGCATGTTTTATAGTGTCAATCTGTTTTTTGTATGTTTAATAGTGTCATTTTGTGTTTTGTATGTTTAATAGTGTCCTTTTGTGTTTTGTATGTTTAATAGTGTCCTTTTGTGTTTTGTATGTTTAATAGTGTCATTTTGTGTTTGCATGTTTTATGGTGCTTTTTGTTTTTTTGTGTTATATGGTGTCATTTTGTGTTTTGTATATTTTATGGGTTTATTTTGTTTTTTTCTGTTTTACCGTGTCTTTTTGTGTTTGGTATGTCTCATTGTGTCATTTCGTTTTTGTGTGTGTTTTATGTTGACATTTTGTGTTTTTTATGTTTTACTAGTGTCATTTCATGCGCCCGCCCTTTCTCACTTTAAACTCTACACATGAATGGTTACGCCAAAGCCTGATAACAACACCACCACCAGCGGGTAACGTCGTCTCTAAAAATTGTGACCAAGATGTGACAGTTTATGCTCACGTTCGACTACTTCATATAAACAAACTTGCACTGGGAGACAGGATCAGAACTGACTGCGAAAATTGCCAGCAAGTTTGACGTTGACGTATTCAACCCTAACAACTGTTTGATAAATGATCCATCGCTTTGTTCTGTAAATTTTAAGTTAACACATAAAATATTTCACTGCCACTACGACCGCCCCTTCTCCCCTCCCCATTTGCACCAAAAAAAAACCACCAAACTATGTCCTTATTATCGGTAGTCAGAAAACAGTAGTACTTGTCAACCATTGAGTTGAGACATGTAGGGGCACCGAAGCATAACCTAATCTGGCAACCCCCGTGAGGTGTTATCTTTATGGTTATGTGAATGTCGATGTCAAAATGTTGTACACCCCCGGAGTTTCAATCAACCGTCCTGAAGACTGGAGTCAAGAAAAGACAACATAACGTATGTATAACGCTACTTACGTATTGTGACCCTTCTAAACGTATGTCACGGGGTTTCAATGTTGACAACGAGAAAATGATCATTCAGCTCGGCAGGGCATTGTGTGTTTATTCGGTTTATTTGAAGGCAAAGTTCGCCTTATTTTAGACTTCTCATGTTTGTGTGTGTGTGCTTGTGTGTGTGTATGTGTGTGAGTGTGTGTGTGTGTGTGTGTGCTTGTGGTGGTCGTGTATGCATGTGTGTGTGTGGGTGTGCATGTGCGTGCGTGTGTGTGTGTGTGTGTGTGGTTTCTCTGTTTATTTATGAGGGTGGCGTTTATATAATATTTCAAGGTGCAATATGTGTGTCTTCACAGGGGACCATGACCCCTTCACCATATCGACTTTTGTGGACATTTTCTCTGTGTTCTAATTGAGACGGATATGACTTAATGTTTATATCCAATGACTTAATGTTTATATCCAATGACTTAATGTTTATATCCAATGACTTAATGTTTCTATCCAGCTACTTAATGTTTATATCCAATGACATAATGTTGATATCCAGTGACTTAATGTTTATGTCCAATGATTTAATGTTTATATCCAATGATTTAATGTTTATATCCAATGACTTAATGTTTATATCCATTGATGTAACACACGTGTTAGAGCTTAAGAAAAGAAACAAGTAAATGTACAAAAATAGATTTACTCCAATTGAAAGCATAACTCGTGGTGAACATTAGAGAATAAAAATACAAAAAAAAAAAAAAGTAAGTTTTACTCTCTAAAATAAGAAATAGATTTTTTGGTGGACATACGTCACAGTTATCTTTATTAGTATTCCTACTTTAATATTTGTTTTTTTTCAGTTTAATGTTCGATGAAACATTTTAGACTCATCTCAAATATGACCACACATTTCTTGTCATTCGGTCTGGTCGTCGCCTGCATTCAGATGTTCAGCCACGGTCAGTTCCACCAGGCAGACTCCATCCAAATCAACAGTTACAACATCATGGCGGATGTGCTACGTAGTGGTTCCGTGTCTTCAGGGTGTAAACGTTTTATTGAACTCAACGTCTTGAATTGGGACACGGGCGTCTGCTCGAGGCTTGAGATCTACAAGGACTTTCTTCTACTCGTTGCGTGCAATGAAAGTGAAATAAATTTACTGAACGGTTCCGCTTGCGATACATCTAACACCACGTGGGAAACTACGACAAGAAAAGTATTCACTTGGAATCACGACTCTACCAGCACGGCACCCCCATCAACGCCCGGGTCAACCATTTTCCCACAAGATACGACTGGAACGTCGGTCGACTCATCGTATCCCGAAACATCAACGGGAGGCACTATACGAACCGTTGTTTCGACTCATAAGACTGACCACAATCAGATCATAGCGTCCATTGCGGATAGTGTTAAGTCGCTCAATTGCAGGACTCTAGTCACTTCCGTTTACAACACAGTAAATGACTTGAGCATGGTCTGTGCTCTTATGACGGTGTTGAAAGATTTCCTGGAGAGGAAATGCTCAAACTCGGAGATGGCCGTGATTGAAAGGACGTTTTGCAACGATGGCGTTACGTCTGCTTCCGGTGTCGTCCCCAGCGACAGTCCGTTACCCTCGGCTGCAACGGCAACTTCGACCACCTCTGATCATGCAACTGTTTTAACTTACGGCGACGTCCTCGGTGTGGTCGTGTCGGGCCTGTCCTCACGCTGTCAGGCTACGATGAGGGCAGAAATCAAAACTCTGATATCTACAACGGGTTGTGAAACACTAGAAGCTTCCGGGGATCAAATTCTTGGAAATCTGATCTGCACACAAGAAGATTATGAAAAGCTTTATCGGGTTGTTTGTAGGAAAAATTTGAACATAGAAAAAATTAAATCTGATGGGACTCGAATGGCGAAAGCCCTGGAAATTATAGCCACAAAACTCTCCGAAGGCTGCCGCGGCGTCATAGCGCGTGAAATTCACGGGAGAATTGATCTGGACGATATGTGCACCAAATTCAAACTAGCGGGTCCAAGTTTGGTCAAGCTCGGCACGTGCTCGGCATTTGAATCTGGCATTATCCAAAGTGAAGTGTGTTACCAAGGTGAAGGACAAAGTGTGAGAGGAAATGGTGTTACGCGGGTGAACGCAAGCTTTCTTCATCTTTCTCTTGTCATGTCATTTGTGTTAAGCAGGGGTTCTCGAACATGTTTATTATTGCTGACTTGCTGAATCCAGGTGTTCCCTAGGAGCCTCCACGTGTGGCAGAGAACATGAGAAAAAGGAAACCTGTGGTCAACACCTAATAAGTACACAACTAATCAAAATATCACTTCATATATATTTGAACAGTGTATGAAAATATGATGTACCAGTGGTATTAGCGTACCATTGTTTAAGACACGTTTTAATCCATATTTGTTTTAGTTTATGTTTTAATTAATTGAATGAACTCCATTTAAACATTCATTAGTTTGATCTCAGAATACATTTGTAGGTATGCCATTAATTGGAATTTTTTAAGCAACAATTCTTTACCCTATCTTTGAATTGCATAAAATAAAATTGGGTGGTGGGTGGCAATTAAGCGAATAGCAAGTTGGTAATCTCGAGTTCAATTAACGTTGGATGGCAACTCATCTAAGAGAAGGAAACTCTGAATTCAATCCCGGAGTTGGAGTACGGTAGACGGATAACATTGGTACAATGAAACTTTCCGACAACTCCAGCGACGCCACTGGTGCCAAGCTGTATCATCCACCTGATGTTCCTTGGTTTTTCCAGCGGCGTGGAGAGAGACGAATTGATGTTGCTTATAATCCTGGACCCTGTGGATTTCGTCCTGCGAAGCCTTCACCATCGTCACATTGTGACGGACGGAAACTTCTATAAAGATCTATAGACCACAATGTCACACAGTCAGATATATTTGATTGGTTTCATTGATAAGATTCTTTTACACGTTCATACATGGTAATAACACCGTCTGTACATTTAATCTGACACGTGTATAGCTCAGCTCGCTATAAGAGGGGGAGAGAGAGAATCAATACGGAACCATCCACTACAAGGTTGTTTCGTAAAAGACTACTTAGGAATACGCGACTACGTTAAAGACAGTCTTGACAGTACGTCAGCTGAATGCCGGGGAAGTGCGTTCATTAACTACTTACACTCTCAAAACGCACCGCGCACACACGAAAAAATGCAATACCCGGTGCGCAACAAATTTTTCTAGTGAATTCCCATACTCGACACATGGACAGTGAAACATCCGGAGTCCACCTGTAGGATGCATGTTTAAGTCAGTATATTCAAAAATAAGTTGGAGAAGATGTCGGCAATAAAACCACCTCGCCCCCTAAACATTTATAACCACCATAATATATTCCCACCATGCCGGAGACACCACTGGGACGGCTTGGGGAGACGTTACCGTCGCAGTAAGATAACCCCTAGTCACAATGTTCACCTCGCGATACATTAAACTGTTAGTGTTTCTGTTTCATATCTTGGTTCAAGTAAATGGTATCTGTTAATCGTGTTCATAAGTAGATTAACCGTTTTAAAATTGTGTTGCGTCTGATAGAAATCATCTGGACGCAAGCTTTTTTTTTTCTTTGGTTAAAGGTGAAGACGATAAAAGATAACCAGAATTTCTGCAATGGTTTTTGAAACCAATAAACATTTTTTTTTATTTTTATACAATCCAGTTAAAACAGTGGATGTTAAAGAATATAAAACAACAAGCAATCGCCTCCTTGAGTCAACAGGGGAATTCGACCGAACGCCTCTAGGTCAGGGACCTGCACCGCCGAGGTGACTTGTAGGTGTCCCATGGGGTTTGCCTCTTTGTGGCGTGCCTGACCAGTAGGGAATGTCTCTTGTCCCGAAGCCAAAAATCCCGGCCACTTGCATGACTTCCAACGCAACGGAAGTAGCGCAATAACATGATTACTTGTTTCCGATAATGGATATGAGGCCTGGGTGGCGTTTTAACCCCTTGGCGATGATTTTTAGCTACGCGGCCTTGAGAAAGCCGCTCATAGCTTACCGTTTCGTGCCCGCTTACGTCCCGACAGAACAACTCCCTGGACCGCCGGGGGAGGTAACGCAACACCTTCCCCCCGGAGAGGAAGCAAAGCCGTTCAGACCCAAGGGGGAGTGGACCGCGAACGCTTTAAACGCAGCGTTTTCAGTCGACCGGACGTCCCGCAGGCTTCCGCGCGGTCTGGCGGTGGGGAGATCCGGCGTCGGCACGTGTGGGGGTGTGCCGGGCGGGGGTATTAAGAGCTTGCGCTCGACGACCCACCGACGCCATCTCCAATGTGACGTTATCAGTAAACAGAATAATTGTTAAGAGCCGAGCATTATTTTATCTAGTTTATCCTAACCTCGCTTTTCTTCATGGTCGGGTGGGTGGCTTGTTGGCCGGGTGGCAGGAAAAAACATCTTCGGACGGCTAATTGACCCACTTCCCGTCAAGCGATCGAGGTCAAACTTGGCACATAGAATCTATGCCGATGACGAAACGTTCTTTCACATTTTCAGCCCCCTACCCCAACCGCCACAAGACCATGAAGGAAAATTTCTGATAACTGCGCTAAATGGGAGTCATTTAAAACAAAAATATCAACAAGTTCGAAAAATCAAGTTCCCTACAATTTTGTTTTGTTTAGTTTGTTTTCATATTGGTGTTCTTTGGGGGGGGGGGGGGGGGGGGGTGTTTTTTTCTGCTTTTTTTTTTTATGTGTTGTTGTTGTTTTCAGTTTTTGTAAATAGCCTGTAGAGTTACGCAATCTATTTTTTTTTAAAAAGTGCAGTTTATCTCAACTTCCTTCTTCGCTTGTGCTCTCAAGCCAACATGTCTCCCATGATATCTTGATAATGCCAATAACACTCGTGCATTTTATGCATGTAATCAGCTAGTGTACTTCAGAGATTAGTCAAACATATTTCAATTATTATTTTTTTTAACAAATCTTTTTTTTTTTTTAAATCTCACGTATCTATGTTTTAAATAATCGTTTTAAAGAAGGCGAACACGAAATGAAAATTAATTAGGTTCATCAACTTTGCTTGCGCTATCGCTGTAAGACCTCTAAAGTCTGTTGGCGTATTGCTTTGTTGAGCCCTACTCACTTGATAGTTGTATTTAACACACAAATACAAATTCTTTGACACGCGTACTGAAAGTTGAGAATTAGTTTGTAAACTTTGTTAGAAACGAAACGGGTTTTCCTCGTTGTGAATCAACGTGTATCCGAATGAATTTTAAAAAAAAAGCAAAAAAACATAAAAACATTCCATATTCAAACACACAATAAACACACAAAAAAAAACAACGACAGCAAAACATAAAAACATTATTCTATTTATCATTTGAAATAACGAAATAAAATCATTGCTCTGGAAGTTTGATGTCTGCGGTATTTGGATAGCAGTGATTTTTCATTTTAAGTTTTTCGCACGACTAATTGAAACTAAATTTTTTGTTACCGTGCAATCCACTAATGAAGAATTCTATCTGAGCAATTCTTTGCCAGTGCCTGTAAATAGCAGTGTCTTAACGAATTGTTTATATTATTATTAAATGGTTTATGTAATAAGATAAGATAAAATTCTTTATTGATCCAAATAAATGGAGTAGTTGTTGTTGTTGTTTTTAATGACATTGTACATATTCATTTTCAGTGCATACATAAAGACACATTTTTAACCAAGACAACATTCTACTATTACAAAAATTTAAACGCGAGGCATCATTAAGTATTTCTCTACCGTAGTGATCAGCTATAAATAATCCCCTTTGGTGAAAAATTGATGACTTAATTAGTGAGCATTTAATCAATTTGGGAAGCCCTTTGCTAAATTCTTACAAATTTGGGAACAAAAATTTTTTTCTCATCTCTTGGTCCTAACTTTAAGAGAAAGAATTCGCGCTGATCGAGCTGATCTTAGATGGGTGATATTGCTTTGTAGGTAAATGAATTTGTTGTATATATGCTCCTTTCTATTCTTCTATGTTCCTTTCTATCCTTTCTACGCTCTTTCCGTCCTTTATATGTTCTTTTCTAACGTATTATATTACTATGTTCCTTTCCACCGGTTGACAACACATATCTCTAAAATAATACGTTATAAATGGTTATTGTACATTGTACATACACATTTTAAAAACTATTTCATTGTGTCTATCTCTACAGGTATGAAACACTGTCGCCGTGTCTATATCTAGAGCCTACAGATTTTTAAACGTATTGTTTGAAACAAAACAAGTACTCTAAAGTCGGGCATTGTTACAATTATTTTTTGCTTACTGTAATACTAAGGCATGTTCTTATCACGAGGTATTTGATAAGCCTAACCCAAGCTTTGTTCTTAAATAGTTGGACACCACTTCAAGTGTGTTCATTAGTGGGTCGCTAAAAAAAGTTAGCTGTTCAGTCAGAAACAAGCTATAGTGTAGTAACAGTCTGATGCAGTGCCAGTAATTTGAATTCAATAGGTAACAAGATATTGTAAACCAAGGATAGATTCTAAGTCAAGTAAATGCTAAGAACAAATATGTTGGTTATATTTAGTTAGTTTAGTTTGTTAGTTTATGAATAATATCTAAAAAAAATACAACAGCGACGTTTCAGAGTAAAGTTATTGAAACAATAAACTCTCTCTCTTTCTCTCTCTCTCTCTCCCTTTTTCTCTATCTCTCTTTCTCTCTCTCTCTCTCTCTCTCTCTCTCTCTCTCTCTCTCTCTCTCTCTCTCTCTCTCTCTCTCTCTCTCTCTCTCTCTCTCTCTCTCTCTCTCTCTCTCTCTCTCTCTCTCTCTCTCTCTCTCTCTCTCTCTCTCTCTCTCTCTCTCTCTCTCTCTCTCTCTCTTTATCTCTCTCTCTCTCTCTCTCTCTTTCTCTCTCTCTCTCTTTATCTCTCTCTCTTTCTCTCTCTCTATCTCTCTCTCTCTCTCTCTGTTTATCTCTCTCTCTCTCCTTCTCTCTCTCCTTCTCTCTCTCTCTCTCTCTCTCCGATTTTGTTTATTAAACTGAGATTCTCAAAGTGTGGATAAAAGGTAGCTCATTATTTTCTTTTATTCGAACAAAACAAAATGCAGAGTATCTTTATTTGCACAGCAATTTCAGGCAATTTCTTCTTTCACATTTTATACTAAGAAATTATAGGACAAATAACAAGTAAGCTA